CTCTTATTTTTGGCTGTTCTAGATCAAACATGGACAATTGAAGCTTATTTGTGGTTTGCAGCATATACTAACAAATATTTTACTTTGTGTGTTGCAGTTTTACGACACAGTAAAGAGTTGCTATTTTCTGTTTCTAACATCTGACTATAAGTTGGTTAGACTAACAATCATATTTGAAGTCAGTGAGATGAGTCAGGATTCCAGAAAGCCTGGAAATTTGTCCCATTCATTGCAATTTAAAACATGACTGGTTGATTCCACTGTAACTTCCTAATTATGTAGGTAGTTAATATAATATGTTAGGCCATCAGCCCCTGAAGTCCTAATCAATGGGAGAGCTCAATGTATCTACATAGATACCACTTTTTTGAGGTTTGGCAACTCATTCACTGATGCCATGTGAATACAGTCGACCAAGCTGCTTTTGTCTATGTAAAACATAACACTTTCCTACCTGATTACAAAACAACTGGTAGTTACAACTTGGTGACATGACAACTTTCAGCTTCATGATTTGTCCAGCACTACCCAATTGCACTATTAGCACAGCTTATCATAGCTACAGTAACAAAGCTTTGTTTGTCCAAAATGGAGGAAGGTGAAGGAAATTTTAATATACCTTAACATGATATTATCCATAATAATTCTGGAACATTTCTATTGGTCCATTCATCATGAAATATTCACATAATATAAAGAGAAGATAGCATGTTTAAACAAACAATGAGTTGATGTTTCGGTATGACAGCAATGATATGCTTCTATACTAGAGGACCTTGCTGCTTTGTCCATAACGATGGTCAGTCCTTCCATGATTATGCTGCCAGCTCATGACTTCCTCAGTGTGAACTTTGACATGTGGGTCATCTCCAAGGTGTCCCGTTGCAAATGACGCTGACGGCAGAGCTCTAAAAAAGGCGCCTGTCTCTTCAGGCCACCAATCGTCGCTCCATCTCCATGTCAGCAGGGGAGAAAAAAATCTATACAAAATTCTGTTCTATAAATAGCCGGGGCCTCTGGCTGTCTCGTGTAATACCAGTGGGGTTGGAGGCATACCTTTCTTATCACAGGAGAATTTCATAGTCTACCCACACACGCTGCACAAACGCTGGCATTGTGGCACAAAAGCATGAATTTTCTAAATGAAGATAGTGGGGTTTGTCTTGAGAACTGAAATTTCCTCTTATTAATGTGTTAAATGCCAAACGTTAGCAAGATTTCAGAAAGCCTGAATAAAAGCTGTTGACATTTGGTACAAATTGAAAATGGAAATGAAGGAATAAAATCCTATTGTGCAATCCTGTTAGGTTGTGTTTTACAGTAAAGTGCAACAAGGAAGGAAAAATGGACCCAGAGGTCACTTGCACAACATTTTCTCTTCATGCATGCTGACTGTAGCTTGCCCTGCAATACCTGTTTTACAAGGATGTATCAGTAACACTTCAGTGATTTGGGTCTTTACTCACGCAATTTGAAATCAGATGAATTCCTTATACGTATAGCATTTCTTTATATATACATTACCATTCATCATCATTTTCATCAATGTGTGATTTGCTGAGGTTAAAACTGAGTATGAAGTGGTTCTGTTCTGAGGCTGGTACTCTACAACAAAATTAAGAATGTCCACAGGATGTCTGTGCCTTGTATTTGAAAAATGATTAAATCTCAAGGCAGATAACATATGAAGGTATTACTGTAAGTAGATCAATAAGGCATATTATTTACTATTTACTTTATTGCTTCTCCCAAATAGAGTATAACACATTGTATTTCATTGTATTTACAGTATTTCAATCAGTGTCCAACTGTGACTATAAGAGACTATGGGCCTTCAGTTTGGGCCTCGAATGTCAAAAACCCACCTTTCTGATAATGCTAATTTCTGCTAGCACCCCTATGAGATTTTAGTAGTATGCTAGCACTAAGCTAACATCAATTCAGATGCACATTTTCTGGATGTTCAAAATCGAACAAAGATATTTAAAGCTTGTATAAGGCATTCCATTTGACGTTTGAAACAGACTAACATATTTTACCTTCACTGTAAAACTGCTACAGTGGCATAAACCAATCACATTTTGATTTACAAAGGGTAGCAGTCGGTAAGGAGAAAAAACACACTCCAGACCCTCTAGAAGTTTGTGATACACTATATGGTCAAAAGTATGCCAACCCCCCTCTTTATTATTGAGTTCAGGTGTTTCAGCCACACCCATTGCTAACAGGTGTACACAATCAAATTTCTCAGGTGTATAAAAGCCATTGGCAGTAGAATAGGTCAGACTAAAGAGCTTTATGGCTTTAACGTGGCATTGTTGCCCCCTTTGCGCCAAGATAGCTAATGAAATTTCTGCCCTGCTCAACTGTACATCTGCTCTGGTTAACTGTGTCATATTATTGTGAAATGGAAGCATCTACAAGCAGCAACAGCTCAGCCACCACGCAGTAGACCACACAAACTCACTGAGTTGGGCTGCCAATTTTTATGTGCTGTGAAGCACACAGCATGTAAAAATCACCTATCCTCTGTTGCATCACTCACGACAGACTTCCAATCTGCTTCTGGAAGCAACATCAGCACAAGAACTGCATCGGTAGCTTCATGTAATGAGTTGAATGTGCAAAGCAGAGCACCTAAATACTTCACTATCTGGCAGTCTGATAAATAAATCTGGGTTTGGCGGATGCCAGGAGAACGTTACCGACCAGAGTGCATAGTGTAAAGGATCAACAGTAAAGTTTGGTGGAGGTGGGATAATGATCAATGGCTGTTTTTTAGGGCTTGGGCTCGACCCCTTAGTTCCAGTTAAGGGTAATATCTCTGCTACAACATACAAAGATGTTTTTGACAATTATATACAAATCTCACAGACACACTCCAAAATCTTGTGGAAGGCCCTTCCAGAATAGTGGAAGCTGTGATAGCCACAAAGGGTGGGGGAGGGAGAGGGCTGCTACCACTGACTTGCACAGTCTTTTTGAGATTACTTAACAACTCTAAGAGGTTTGTTGCAATTGTGTAATGATTTAAGCATGCAGTTTGCACAATGCTAATTGCTTATCATTACCTCTTATTACTTGTTAGCTACATTAGCCTTATAGCTCCTAAAAAAAAACCTAAGGAAGCGAACTTCAGACACTTTAATCATAGGCTTTGTTTTTGCAGTCGGTTTACTAGTATCTGGCAAGATTAGAACCATACAGATAAAGTAACTGGAGACAAATAGCCTAAATTACTGTGACTGTTTAGTCATCATTAAAAAAAAAGTAGCGATGAGCTCTGCAAACGTCTTAAAGGCCTAAGTCACCACATAAGACATTACTGAAGGAAATGGTAAGTGATGATAAAAGATGGACTTACCCTTGATTCAAATCATGCTGCTTTATCTGTGACACACAGGCAATTATGATTGGGATACATGCAACTGCCATTTTAACTTGCTATTCACCTCTCATGTATCTTCATTGACAAGGTGATTGCTTGAAGGCCCCAAAATGCCCTTGAGAATGGGAACCTCCCAAGGTTTAGCAGTTCGTAGTCTGATTCCTCATATAAAGCTAAATACATACAAAAGATGCTACTGTTTCTTAAAGCGGTAGTTCAGTGACAAATCATTTGTTCACATTTTCCCCCTGACGCCCAGCATAGCTGATCAGCCAAATCGTTTCGTGCCTTCTGTTTACTTCTTTAGCATTGCGTTAGCCTACACGGCTAATGTGGCAAACAAGTGATGGAAGCTTATGACTACCAATAAGCACTGGCTAAAGTGCATGCCTAAAACACACTTGCCTCAGAACATACTGTCAGCCAGACTTACTTCTGTAGTTTCTGACATGGTATAAAACTTTTATAGAAGCAATGATTGATTGAGATTAGTGTTGTGATGATTTAAAGAAAGTTTGTACTATGCTAATTGGTGGGCGTATACAAGCTTCCATTACCTACATTACTGCATTAGCCATGCTAATCAATCTTTTCCAGTGCAAACCTAAATAATTGTTTCTGTAATTCTGTTTTTCAAACAAATATGCAGGGATATTTGTCCCACACTTCCAAAGTTCAGTCTTGGAAGTTGGTTGCATTTTCTGGTTCTCATGATCCAAGTAATCCCAAACACATTCAGTGATGTTGAGGTCTGGACTAGTCCTAGCGGCCAGTCCGTTGTTTTGAGAACATCAGCAACTTTTTTTGATAATTAGATCTTGATCTTCTTAGCAGTGTGTTTGTGGTTGTTATCTTCCTGTAAATTATGTGTTTCCCCCCCAACTTTTCCAGAGGCTATTTCATGATGTATTAAACTATGGTTATACTTACCAGCATTCATGATGCCTTCAATCAAAAAACAAATCACCAACTCTAGATGTTGTTCTTATACATCTCCAGACTTGTACTGATCCTCTACTGATGGCTGTAGACATGGATCAAAGAGTCCTTCATTGCTTCAGCAGCAGACATACTGGCTTATGTTACTTCCAATGACATCAAATTTAGACTCATCAGTCCATAAAACCTCACTTCACATCTCAGGTTTTGCAGACATGTCACAAAACAGAAATGAAAGCAAACAGGCTACTGCCCAAATCATTTTGGATGTCAGCATGTGCAGCCATTTAAAGTTGTTCTGTGTCCTGCAGACCTGCAAGTAAATGATATAGCACACAGGTAATTACAGGGTCCTAAAGCTGCTTGTCCTGTAAGGTTGACTAATGGGCTTCAGGGAAAGGTCTCCAGTTAATTCAATTACAAAGACATTAATTATTCATACCATCGCCCTTGCTATAATTATACACCAGGAACAAATAAAAGGAATTTTTCCTAATGTGAAACTCATTTTGCCTGTAATCTTCTTTGAAGTCACCGTGAGTTTCACTCTGGTCAGCTAAAACACTCCAAATAAAAAGGTGTTTCTCAGTTCATGATTAGCACCTTTAATAGAGGTTCAATGCTGCGGTAACAAATGCCTGTAGCAGGTAACATCGTTCCATTCAGTCTCCAATCATGACAACGCAGAGTACTTTTAATAAGCAGTTTATAAAACGTACGCTTTGGTTGGCTGACATCTTTTTTTTTTCCCTCAATAATTTTCAAAAGAAAAATTACAAATTAGGCAAAATAATACAAAAGAGTTCAATGCATCTCAAGTATGTATTCAATACAGCACTTTATATTCACATATTTGTGATAAAGAGCTTTTTTACGAAGAGAACAAAGTAAATTAGGTTTTGAAATGACGACAGTAATGTAATGGTCACATGATAAACCTGTGAAAACAAAGGTCTGAAAATGACAGATATGAACTAAGCTACACAAAAAACACAAGTACAGATTAAAGAGGAATTCCACCAGTCTTTCTGAATTTCTGCAGAATTAAAGGGCTAAAATACAAACAAAGTCATTCAGAGTGGTTTGATTTGAAATGCTCCATTCTGACTCACTAAGCTTCTCCAGAATGGTTTACAGTGGTGCTGATAGGAACCAAACATCTTTGGTGTTTAATGCTTCTAGAAGCATCTCACTCAAGTACATGACGCAGTTATGAATACACCGCTTGGTACCTGACAGTTTGTTTATGATAACATTTTGGTCTAAAAATGAATTTTTCTATCTATTTATGGTTGAGAGGTACACGCAGGGAGATGTGATACCAGGCTCATCTAGATTTTTTTCAATAAAATGAGCCAACAGCCTTGCTATTTAAGCTCCCCCCCCTTTTAAAGAGACAGAGGAGTCTGCTCTTATATGATTTGAAGCAACTCCCTGGTCATATTGCCAAGATGGCCATTGAGTGGACTTTCCTATAAAGATCTTTGCACCCAGGCCCAGTGGAGCCCAACAAAATATCAGGTTTTGAGCCGTTTTTTCACATACAAAAGCCCACTGTGATGGCTTGTAGTGCGCTCTCACTCTCGCTATGCTATAGTCTACAGCTGCGTTTGGAGTTTGAGGAATAGAACATGCCCTTGAATGAAACAATGGATGATGAGAACGATGTGCAAACGAGCTGGAGTGAAATGTGTGACATTTCAATTATATAAGGTTCAGGGCTGGTTAAAATAATACTTGAGGCTACAGCCTTGGAGGCCCAGATCAGGCGTAAGTGCTGTTATTTTAACATCATCAACATTACATACAAAACTAATAAGACACATGCAGGTTCACTGGCTGTTTTGAACAGTAAATAAAATGGCTATATGTCCACTGCAGACATTGTGAATGCTGGAGCATATCACCACCACTGTGAAGAAATCCTAGTCAGTAAGCTTCTCTCCAATCATATACCAAACTACTTCGTTTACATCTTAATTATGCAGAAACTTAACAAAAAAATATTCTACCGGCTTTGCGGTTGAGTATTTTTCTTAAAGACAGGAAGTCTATACCATCACGTGGAGCATCTGCTGTCTGCTAACTCTCAATGCTGCTCCTCGGGGAGTGCTGTCTGCCACTGCAAGGAGGCACTAGGTGACAGACAGCATGCTAGAAATGCACTTCTGTTCATCTCAGTCTGAAACTGTGTATATGTGTGTCTGGACGGATATCGTGTCCAACTACTCTGTCCAAAATTTGTCAGAATGGCTGGGTAACATCTGTAGGCACCCAGGAGCTTATGAGGGAATATGAAGTGAGTGTGCGTGTTTGTATGTGTGTGTAGAACTTTTCTCTCTCAGACTTTCTTCGTCCCACTCCTGTTGTTGAAAAGGTTTACTCTGTTCTTGGTGCCCACTGATGTGTCAGAGATGCCTGGCTGCTGCAGCACTTTGTCCAGCGTTGTCTTTTTGATAGCAGCTGGAGAAATGTTCTCTTGGTCTGCAAGAGACTGCAGCTCTCTGTAAAGGAAGAAGATAAAAAGGTCAGTTTTATCCTGTACCCCCAACCCCCCCACACCCTGCACACTGAAATGATGTCACATGAAACTAAATCCTATAATAATCAGTATTATATACCAACACCAGCTGCTCAAACTGTAGACTACTACTGCCAAATCAACCCAGCTACCACACTTGATAAAGTTTACTGGTTTTGTTGCTGGTATTTTAGTGAGGTTGATGTCATTTCAATGTACCGCTGTGTCAGCTTGCATGCAATTTTTTATATGTTGACTCTCTAAGGACCTTGTATTTCAGAGGATTCATTGACATTTGAGGGAAAAATGCTTCCATACAGTAAAACATATCTGCTTTTGAACATTTCTGTTTGCCACAGAATGTGAAAGCACTGACTTTCAAAAAAGCTATTCATTTTCCCCATCGAGAACAACTGATTATTACACATGGAGTTCCTAATACGGATGTCAACTGTAGAATGACAACATAATTTCCGAGGTATATACTGATGCGGCAGAAAGCTGCAATAGACAAATCAATCAATAAAATGAGCATCCTGACCAATCAGAGCTTCCCTATGAGAGATATTAAGAGAAATCATGATTAGATCACATGATCTAACAAACACAACACATTTTTTGTCAAAATAATACAGGCTTGTCTTTAAAGAGGTCACATATAGGTTTTACTACCATGTTTTTAATATACTGCAGGGCATATTGGAATATGTAGCAATGACATTGCAATACGGTATATTGTGCAGGCCTAGCTAGGCTTATTTCATTGTTCCTACTGGTTCCTAGAAAACGTTTCCTCAATACAGTAAGTATTGCAATATTTAGTTTTTCTGAGGTTTGATAAGCTGGAACAGACAGAAAAAAAACACAAGTAGTCCCACGTTTAAAAACTGCAATAAAAAAAGACGAGATAATGCAGTTGGTCAATGTTCTTTAAGTACTGATAATATCAACGATATTCTTAGAAAAACATATTGTGACATAATTAATTACTATAATAATAACTACCATCTTATTGCCCACCCTTAGTTCCTACCTACAGGCATGAGACTTGATATTGAGCCAGCCTACAGCTAGGAAGGTACTGACCTTCCTTCAGTCTGAATAGTGCTGATCTATGTAATTTATTGGTGGACATGAATGACAGATACTACCCTTGTACGTCTGTAGTTACACTACTGTTATTCTGAAATGCATGTGATTTGCAACGTCTTGTAACTTTGCATTTTTCTTCAGCATGACAGCTTCTATCCATCTCAGAGTGAGCTGTATCAGCTGAAAGGGACAGTAAGTGATGAAGGTGAAAGTGAAGTCAGTGCACCTTGTCCTGACACATGAAGCCTCCACAGCATTGATGAGAAGGCTCCGGAAGCCGCCACTCTCCAGGAAGTGCAGGGCGTGGATGGTGGCGCCCCCTGGTGAGCACACCTGGTCCTTCAGCTGGCCTGGATGCTGCTCTGAGTCCAGCAGCATTTTAGCAGCACCCTTCAGCCAAGAGGAACACAGGACACACAAAGAAGTCAAATACAGAACACAGCGTTCACATCAACCCTTGGGAAAATGTAACGTGTATTACAGAATTACACAATAGACAAAATTAGAGAAAACAGTAAAAATAAAATTAGTGTTTGGCTCATGAGATCAAGTCTAGAGCACTCAATCAAGTGTTTTTGTTCATGAGAAAGTGACTCCGTCTGTTACTCACCAGCAGAGCCTGCGCTCCCAACCTCATAGCCAACCTCCTTGGCAGACCCATCTTCACCCCACCATCAGCAAGAGCATCGAGAGCAGTGAAAGCCTGAGAGTACAAAAACATAAACAATGGTGCAAAGGAGCAAAACTAAAAGTCATCATGGACTAACCCTTTAAACTCTAAGGACAAGAGTTCTTTTACCAACTGTAAAAAAATAAATCAAAGGGAACAGTTGGTTCAAACGACCAAGTGGTAGTCCTAATATATCCAAGCTAATACATACAGAAAAGGGAGATCATTCTTGTTATTATTTCAGAGCAGATCGCATCCCCCTATATCCCCTCTCAAACTGAGCAGTGCTAAGAACCCATTGGCACTACCAATTCTCCTTTCTTGTATCTACTTATCTTAGTGATTACTGAATAATTTATAGTAGTTTCTGGAGAATCAGCCTTAATATTAATAACTAAATAATCCTAAAATTTAAGAGGTTAAATCCACTAAAAGATCAAAACAAAGCAATTACACTCTCCTTCACAATAATCCCAGCGTAAAAAGCATTATCCAACATTAGATATGTAAATCTCTGACCTTAAAATGATTCAATGAATGATGAAATCTCAAAATTTCTTCACGATTCAATTTGTTAGATCATTTAGTACTATTCCGAATTATTTTTAAAGATACACTCAGGACACAAATGTGACTTGACATTCTAGTGAAATATAGACCATTAAAACAATACACCTGGCTGTTTTTGGAATATAACCCTTAAAAATAGCCCAGACATTTATTTTGGCCAAAAGAAAAAAGAACACATATTTAACTGAAGATGCTGATAGTTACAGATTGTAATCAATTCTAAAATTTCAAAATTGCCGCAGTAGAATTGCCACCTTCAGATCAGGCATTTTGAGACCCCTACTGAACATGAAACTCACCTGACTCAAACTTTGCCTCAACCCCTCTAGCACCCCAAACTCCCCTCAGCCTGAATCATGCACTCACGTAAGCTGGCCCACTGCCACTGAGTCCGGTAACAGCGTCGATCAGGTCCTCCTCCACCTCCGTGCAGAATCCCACGCTAGCCATCAGCTGCTCCAGCAGCTTTCCGTCCTCCACCTCGGCATGGGTGCCAGTGGCGTACACCGTGGCCCCCTCACGCACCACCACTGGAGTGTTAGTCATGCACCGCATCACCTTAGGGGCAGCACGGTACTGGAGCAATTTCTGCACAGAGAGAGAGCGAGAGAGAGAGAGAGAGAGAGAGAGAGAGAGAGAGAGAGAGAGAAAGAGAGAGAGAGAGAGAGAGAGAGACGTGGAAGAGTACAGGACAAAGAAGAAATATTAGTGCCTGTACAGCACCGGTTTATGAAATTGATTCAGTCAGAAAAAACAAAAAGCACAGATTTACACAAATAAACCCACCAGAAAAGCCCACTGTGATGCTTTTCAGAAAACTAAGCACCTAATTGAGGAAATCAAAGTGTTCGGGGCACTTTCCAAAGGAGAAAGCGATGCAAGCAATACAGAGTACAAAAAACTAGATTGGGTTCATAAAAGAGAATAATGCATGGCCTCAGGGTGCAGCTTGTTTGGCAGGAAGGAAGAAAAGGAATAAATACAATGTGCATGCTTAAGCAAGCATGTTAGAAAAAAGGCAAAGGACAAACACACTCATGCACAATCATTTTAAAGCCCCAATCAGGAATTGCTGAAACCAGTGCCAGAAATGCCGCAGGACAGTTAGCTTACTAGTAAAGGGTGCAGTGAATCTGTCTGTTGTTTTGCAGGGATTTTGGGGCAAGACCTTTTATAACGCCTGTCTGAGTTATGGCTTTTTAAAAACGTGCAGTATATACATTAAATTTAAAGCAACTTTTAAGAAACTAATATGCAAGTCATACAGTTAAGAGTAAACACAAGAGTAAACGACTGAAGACCACATACTGGTCTGTGCAGTTACAGTTAAGTTAAAGGGTAATTCCACTGATTTTTTTCAATATTTTTGCATTACTAAGGCATTGTTTCAATGGAAAATGCACCTACAAAAAGCTACCAAGTAGGAATTGTGCAACGACAGTGTTACGAGGCCATGGATATGAAGTGTTTATAGCCTCTAAAAGTTCTTCACATAAAGTTATGGGTATGGTTTTGCTGCCTAATGATTTACAGACTGCTTTACAATATTTTTACTTTAAGATTATGGCCTAAAACATTTCTGCTTAGACTATGGTCCTTGGGTTATTTTACTTTATTTATGCACTTATTACTGAACCTTTAATTTAATGGTAAGTCATAAAGAACATTTTCATGGCAGCCTGGTAAGCAGCAGAAGCTACTTGATGGAGCACTGCATGTAGGGCACAGTAAAAAAACCCAAGAAAACTGTTTTTTTTTTATGTATTTACTACCATTTGGCATTATCAATATAAAACAAACTTAGCTTTACTGGCTATTTGGATAACAACCACCTTTGCATTGTAGACATCATGACCCACGGTTCCTAACACTAACACTAAGAGAATACAACTGAATTTCTCCAGTATGGACCATTTTTTCAAAACCCCTTTGCTTAACACTAAATTGTAGGTTTAGTTCCTCTTTAAAAGCATTATAAAAGCAGAGCTGTATTAGTCTTCTAATTCACATTTGCTCAACGTTCCTCCCTCTAAGCTGCGTACTGTTGGTGACAGGGCATTCAGTGTTGCTGGCCCCAAGCTGTGAAACAGTCTCCCCTCTGAGTTACGTGCCTGTTCGACCATGGCTATGTTCAAAGCTAGTCTTAAAACCCACCTTTTCCAGCTGGCTTTTGGTTGAACCAGAATTGTGATTTTTTTTTTTTGTTTGTAAAGTATGTGTACTGCTTTTACATATTTCTACATGCCATTTTTTTTATTATTATTGTTTTTTTGGATTTTTTTTATTTTTATCTTTGTTTTTTTATTGTACAGTGTCCTTGGGTGTCTTGAAAGGTCCTTATCAAATAAAATATTAATATTATTATTATTATTATTATTATTATAGTCTTGTCGCACACCTTCTCAATGGAGCTAATAGTGACTCCAGCAGCACAGGAAACGATGAGGTGCCTGTCTTCGATGTCTGGTCCAATTTCGTCCAGAACGAAAGGGATAATATGGGGCTTAACAGCCAAAAAGAGAACATCACTCTTGTGCGTGGCTTCCTTGTTGCTGGTTGTGAAGTTCACCCCCATTTTCTGCAATGTTGGAAGAGGCTGATGTGAAAACAATGCAATGACCTGTAGAAAAGTCATTCTCTCTAAATATAAACACACACTCTGGTCTTCTGAGGCTTAACATACTGACCCTGAGCCCAGCCACTGTTGGCAGATCTGTATCTGGGGAACTGGCAGTGATCCGGTGAGCTGCAATTACACCTGAGATAGAAGCCGAGGAGAGCCAAAGGGAATGAGAAAGGAACAGAAGGTGTGAGAGCAGGTGGGTAAAGTAGCCTAAACTCACACAAGTTAAAATATTGCTATATCATTGAAATTGTGACTCAAGGAGGAGTAAAAGTAGTCTAGCCTAGAAATGCAGTGGTACATCCAGCATCTAAAAGCTCATAGCAACTGAGGTTTGGTAGGTTCAGTTCTCCTCTTCTTAGGATTTTTTTGGTTTAAAATACAACGCTAAAGCTAAAAGCAAGAGCTGAACCAAGAGAACAGAATTAAATCGACCAAAAAAAGTCTCAGAATTGAAATGTGATGGGCTACAACAGAACTATGTAAACGGACTACTTCCTTCACAAATATATTTGAGAATTATCTTTTTAAAATATAAAGAGAAGTACAAAACCAGTTTACTACAGCACTGTACATGTAACTGATATGATAGACACAATATTCATTGTTCATGATCATGGCAATCCAAATATAACTCAACACACTAAAATGCTGTGACACAACAAATGTTTTCATCCATATTCATTTACATGTTGTTGACATTACAGGATCAGGAAGAAACAGACTAACATGGTTCTTTGGTTAATGTCTAAAATATACTGGTCACCATAGCCATGCCATGCCCTACCTGCAGTAGTGAAGCCTTTGACCAAGGCATGGGCCAACTGACCCGCTCCAATGAGCCCTACACTCATACTGCTTATTCCAGATGGCCTGCAAATCAGAAAATTAACAGAGTTATGTTACTCACGCAACACAGACGAAGAGAATTGTGCATATTTTTGAATGTCAGCCAGTTTAAAAGCCTGTTTAAGAATGGAGGCTGATAATTCAATAATTGAGATTAATTTCCTAAGTCATTCAGAATGGCCTGATGTGAAATGGTTTAGTACAGAGAAACTTACTGACAGACTTCTTTACAAAAGATTGCAATGTATATAACACAAACATTTATGTCTACAGTGTCTACAACACAAAATGTATTTTTTTGTTGTTGTAGTAAATTAGGTGCACTATTTTGCCTTACAATGCCATGCATGTACCTTTTCCCTCCAACATGTATTTTAAAAATATATTTTAAGCCAAAATCATAAAACTATCCTGCCTGTGGACAGCAGATCATATTCCACTTACGCCATTATTCCATTTGGTGCATTTACATCATAAAACAATGATGCAGAACAGTGTGTTCTGTCTATGCTGAATAAACAAAAAGCAGGGTAGAAAAACTCACAACACACATTCCCTACACGCTTACTTCTTCAAGGGTTCTTTAGTAAAGATAGTGGTTCTATTTGGAACTGTTCTATATAGAAACATTTCAGGCTTAAAAGTTATTTGCATGGTGAAACGGTTCTTTAGATTGATGAAGAATGTTGTTTTTTTTTAAATGGTGTTCTATAGCATCAAAAAAGGTTCTGCTATTGTTATGATGTCAAGCTTGAGACAACAGAAGAACATATAGCACCATTTTCAAAAGAGTTCTACCATATGATAGAACCATAGAACCATATGCTTCATCAATCTGAAGAGCCACTTCCCCATCCAAAGAACCCTTTAGACCTGAAATGGTTAGATCCACTGCCTTTACTAACCTACAACCCTTGAAGAATCATCTTTAGTGAAGGGTGTGTATTGTTGATGCCACGCACTATATTTGCTGCACAGTCTGGTCACTTCCATGCTCTAACTACACTGGTGATAACCTGATTTGCTGAAATAGGTGTGCTGAAGCAGGAAAATGACAAAACTGGTGGATTTTGCAACCTCAAGAGTCGTTGTCACAGCCTTGCATTGCATGCATGACGGGGTGAAATGGTTAAATTAACTATACTTTCTAAGGTTAGCCAAGGGCACACAATAATCACTTGGCCTAAACACAGTTTATCAGCTAATCTTACTGCTGAACCTGTTGAACCACAGTATCAAGAGGTTCATTATGTAACTTTAGCTGCTGGAAGATAACCCTTGCCTTACCGAGTGCAAGCACACGTATAGCAACTATAGCTCGTTGTAGATGATTATATCTGTTGACAAGCTAACGTTATATACTTCCATAGATTTCTAATGTAGGTTAGCTGTTATCTCTACTGCACTCTAGCATCCTAAATGAAGCTGGTAATAACCTTTTCCTTCATAACCCGACATATATCAGTATATTCGCCATAAAAATCGTTTCCCCAGCCTTCAGTCTTACCTGTACAGGTCACTCCTATGCAAGACAAATACTAACCGCCGGTTTAAGGCCAAACAAAAACACTTCTTCTGTGTCAACGTGGCTTCCTTCCTCTCCGCCCCATGTGCCCGGACAGCAGCGTCAAATGACGCAAAGGGCAGCCAATGAGAGAAGAGAGTTGCACGGGCTTTAGCCAATCAGCGCAAAGATATGGACATCTATTAATTTGATGGGGGTGGGTTTGTTCGTAAGACGGCGATGCCGTTGCATCATTTCCGGTAGTAAATATGGGGGTTGAAATATAGGTCAAGTCCATGTTTACATCAAACTGTTTATGGAGACGTTCGATTCCCGGCCGGGTGACCAGTGACCAGGGTCCTTTCTGTGTGGAGTCTGCATGTTCTCCCCGTGTCGGCGTGGGTTTCCTCCGGGTACTCCGGTGTCCTCCCACAGTCCAAAGACATGCGGTCAGGCCAATTGGACGTGCTAAATTGCCCCTAGGTGTGAGTGTGTGAATGTGTATGTCTGTCTGCCTGCCCTGTGATGGACTGGCGACCTGTCCAGGGTGTATCCTGCCTTCCACCCAATGACAGCTGGGATAGGCTCCAGCACCCCACCGCGACCCAGAAGGATAAGCGGTTTAGATAGTAATGGTGTGTGTGTTTATAGAGACCAAATACGCCAGAGTGACCTGTAGAACAAGCCAGTGCTTGTTAAGCGATGTAAAGCCCGTTTAAAAACGCAAAAGGAACGCTTTAAAGGAAAATTCCACTGATTTTTCCGAATTTCTGACCTATTCAGTTGTTGAGGTTGAACAGTCATTCAGAGTCTTTTGATTCAAAATGGTTAATTGTAGAGAAACTTACAGGGTTTATCTCCAGTTTCTTTACAGTGGTGATAACAAGCAGTAGTCAGACATCTTCAACACAAACTGACCAGTGACCCCATGTCTTCTGAGTTTTTATATGTAATGTTCATAATTGAACACACAGCAAGAAAGGCACATACAGAGCACCAAAACCATGGGGAAGTCACCACTAGTTTAATTTATTTTAGTTTAATTCAGTTGTCGTGATGCAAACAAAGTCGTTTAGACTTTGATTTGATGTGAAGTGATGCACTGAAGAGAAAACTTACTGATTCAGATTGCCCAGTGATGGTGACAGAAACCAGGGGTCGCAATGTTTACAACACAAATATAGCCATTTAGTTTACTATCCATAAGCAACAGTGAACCTGCACATGGTGCCTGGGTTTTTAATGTTATGTGTATTTTTGATAATGCTAAAAACAGTGCTACATCTATGCATCTCTGTACCATTTTGCCTTACAAAGCCTGTGGCATGTATTTTATAAATAATAATATATAAATAATAAATATATATCTTAGACCAAAAGCTTATCATTAAAATAACATAAAACAATCTCAGGCATCAGGCAGAGTATTCACAACCATTTCATGAACTTTCAGTAAGGTAGCCAAATTATATATGTTTACACCTTTTATAAGTAATGTTGATGATAGTAAAATAGTGGTAAAATGTAAAAACAAAAGCATTTTCTTTAAGGACTATTTTGCCTCCACCATGAATTTCTCTCAAAACCATCATAAAACAATGCCTCAGCTCTGAGCTCTAAAATAGCCTATTTGAAACCTATTTAATATACAAGCCCATTTCCAAAAAAGTTGGGACACTGTGCAAAATGTAAATAAAAACAAAATAAATGATGTAGAAATAACTTTAATTTAAACCTTATATTTAATTGAAAATAGTACAAAGACAACAAATCAAATGTTGAAACTGAGAAATGTTATTGCTTATTGAAAAATATATGCCCATTTTAAATTTGATGCCAACAACACATTCCAAAAAATTTGGGATGGGGGCCTGTTTACTACAGTGTTTCATCACTTCTTTTAACAACACTCTGTAAGCATTTGGGAACTGAGGAGACACTGCTGTAGTTTTCAAAGTGAAATGTTTTCCCATTTTTGCTTGACATAGGACTTCAGCTGGTTAACAGTTCAGGGTCTCCTTTGTCGTATTTTTCATTTTATAATGCCAGCCAATACTGTTTTTTTGGCCTCGTCCCTTGTGTACAGAGATTTCTCCAGATTCGCTGAATCTTTAAATGTTATTGTGTATCATAGATGATGAAAAGCACAAGTTCTTTGCTATTTTACATTGAGAAACGTTATTCTTAAATTGTTGCACTATTTGCTCGTGCAGTCTTTCACAGAGTGGTGAACTCCTCCTCATCTTTACTTCTGAAAGACTCAGCCTCTCTGGGATGCTCTTTTATACCCAATCATGTTATTGACCTGTTGACTCAATCATGTTATGGACCAATTAACCACCAGGTGTTTTTTTAAGCATTACACAACTTTACCAGCCTTTTACTGCCCCTGTCCCAACTTTTTTGGAACGTGTTGTTGGCGTCAATTTTAAAATGGGCATATATTTTTCAAAAAACAATAAAATGTCTCAGTTTCAACATTTGATATGTTGTCTTTGAAGCATTTTCAATTAAATGTAGGGTTTAAATGATTTACACATTATTGCATTGTTTTTATTTACATTGTTCACAGCGTCTCAACTTTTTTGGAAATGGGGTTGTAATAGCTTTCTGTGAGGTAACTTTTAGAGGTATTAAACTCTTCAGACATCTGGTTCCTATCACCAGCACTGTGAACAAATCTGACTCACTACTTTCTCTACAATGAACTGCTTCACATCAAACCAATCTGCATGACTTTGTTTACGTCTTAACCATCTAATTATTCAGAAATTTTGAAAAATCAGTGGAATTCCCCTTTAATACATGTATTCAGGCTGTGCAGGTCAGTGAGACTTGTCCCAACTCCCAACACTGTACCAAGCAAACTCTTTCCACACTCACATGTGGTTTCCACGGGGATCAGGACACACTCTGCGTCTGAGAATCCGCTCACGACTTAAGTTGGATTATCCCAGAATCCAAACAATGCCTGTCTCCAGGCTGTCGAGCATGCTTTCAATACTTGAGATTTGATCAAAAGGTTCTGCTCTCATAAGTCAGTCTGAAAGGCCAGCAAACATAAATCAGTCTTAATTACAGATCAGACCAGACTTCGGATTAAAACATGATGACCCAAGAAGTGCAGATTAATTGCTACCAGTCAGGAAAGCATAAAAACCAATAGCATATCATCACTGTCATAATGCTGCAACTTTACAAAAAGAGTAAAAAAAATCTTTAAAAACTTTAATGTACATTAATCAGGGCTGGAAAATACAGCTGCGTGCAAAAGTTTGAACACCCTTCATCAAATGACATTGATTTCTCGAAGTGAAAATAAGTTACATTCTTAAATATGATATTTTTTTTCTGCATAAGTGCCTTTTATTTGCTGAGTTTAACATATCAAGCATATTTATTATGTGCCATAACTTTTGCATACATATATATATATATATATATATATATATATATATATATATATATATATATATATATATATATGCATATATACATATATACATGATAACCCATGTAAATGTGTATATACATATACAGACTAAAAGAAATGACCCAAAATGACTTGGAAAAAAGTCTGGTTCCATTGACTTATATTGAAAGTATAGGTTTTTTCCTTCTCCGTTGAAGTTACCATTTTGGAGATAAAAGGTTTTCTTTCTTTTTATATATATATACATATACAGACAGAGAGAGAGAGAGAGAGAGAGAGATTTCAAATGGCTGGAATGAGCCATTATATGCCGTGACACCTCATGTGATAGAGCCAGTTGTCCATAATGATTCCCAAATGCAACAACAGGAAGGAAGAGGAATGCTGTTTGTGGAATTGTGTTCATGTCTTGCTGCTAAATATACAGCTGAATGTAAAGACAGGCTTCAAAACGCAGCAGCTGTTTCATGCCATCAGCTGCGCAGCATGAGATCAGCAGTTTCCAGTTTTTGTCTTGGGGTAGCGCTGCTCAGCACTTTTTTCTGTCTTCCACCTCCGAAACACCAGATTGACCTGATCAGCTTATTACTGATCTCTTTATGAGGATACAGTGAGTGTGTTGAAGCAAGAAAACAGTGAAATGTGCAGTGCAGGGACTCCAGATGCAGAACTGGGAAACTGAGATCACATGGTCAGTGCACTCTGGGGCTGTCCAATATTTCGCAGGGATAGTAACCAGGTCACACAGCCTTTAAGGGGAATTCTTGCTGAAAAGTTGTCATGTTATGCAATATTCCGCAGTGCTGGACTGCATCACTTAACCTCATGGGTTTGACATGGTTCACGGTTTTGCATCCTCTTTGTGTCTTTGTATATCAGTGTTTTTTCACTGCAATACCCAGCATGCAAATCATATACGCTGATATAGAAGCTAATAAGTACAGACATGATATTTGGCTTCCTAGCAGTACTATTAGCCATCTGCCTTCCTTCTGCATTAGCAGAAAAAAAGAAAAAAAAAACAACAACAAAGAACAGTTCAAACAGCCTCATGTATCCACCACTGTGAAGCAGTTGTACTTTCACCTTCAAGATACGTCATCAAAAGGGGGCTTTCCTAGTCTTTAAATGAAAAAATCCTGCTGTAGAGACATTTATGGCAGTGCTGTAGAAGGTGAATAAGAATGTTTACAACAGATTAAGCAATGGTTACATTTTTCGTTTTGGCCAGAGTGCACCTTAAAAGCGATGATTCAGGCCACAGTCAAATTCATAGAACTTTCCCTCTGAAATGTAGTCAGTCAGCCAAGACTTGTTTGGTGTCTGAAGTTTGCCTGTGTGGTTTCTGACAGTTTTGACATTCTGTTATCTATAAAATGGACAAAAGTTTGTCGCAGAGCTAAAACAGTAGTAGCAGCCGTTCTGAAACCTGAATTTCGCCAGTTTATTTGTCCTTGTCATAAATAACAGTGTGTCATACAGGGTCAGAACCACATTAGCAAGTCTGTGATTAACTAAACTAATGCAGTTTGAGGTACACACTTAAAAAATGATGGTTCTTCAAGGGTTCTTTAGTAAAAAAATGGTTCTATATAGGACCTATATATGATCTCTTTCCATGATTAAAGGGTTCTTCGCAATAGCACCAAATATCATACTTCTAGTGTAACGATGTCAGGATTGTTACAATAGAAG